TTTACCGTCGTTGTTGCTAACGACAACGCTTACAAACAGTCGCTTGTTCGTCCGTAGTGTGGTTATTTTATATATAAGAGAAAGAGAGAACTTTAAGAAATCCTGGAGTGACCATCAAAACGATGAAAAACTATTTCCGTAAACAGTTTATTTTGCGACACCACGAAACAAGCGATAGCGTAAAATGAAACATTAGACGTTATATCGTTATATCGAACAGCCCTACATTTAATACTCCAAAACGCCCAAACAAATTAGTGCTGCTGATGGGGATTTTTTTTTTTTGTTAAACTTGTGGGTGTATTCCCCCAACAGACCATGCCACTTTAATAACTGTTGCTGTCCTGTTCAGGTTTTGCTCTCGGCTGGGGTCCGATCCCGTGGCTAGTCATGTCAGAGATCTTCCCAGTGAAAGTGAGGGGGGTTGCCAGCGCTGTCTGCGTCCTCACCAACTGGAGCATGGCATTCGTCGTCACCAAAAACTTCCAGGATATGATGGTGAGTGTTGAACAGAATAACAAATCTGTTAAAGATCCATAAAACCACATTTCAACCAGGATTGTAAACAGAAGTGAAATTTGATTAAACAGAAGTGAAATTTTATCTTACATCTGGGATCCTTTTTTTAGTGAACACATGAGCATACAGCATGTTTACTTAAGATGCCATAAAAAGACTTCACTGCAAATTTTGCACATTGCAGCACCATCCAAGGGACAAAGTAGAGCCCTTTGCTGGGCTGGTTCTGGCACATAGGCCGCATGTTTACCACAAATGGTTCAATGGATGTGGAATAAGATCCTGTTGGAACAGTTAGCATAACGTAACTCACCAGAAAGTCAAAGTGATGTCACACAGTAATCATTATTGTTTGTTATTATGGTTGTGATGAGATAGCAGAACACATTGGAAACACATCATCACTGACTTATGGCAAAATGTTGATGACTCGCCCCCATCAAACATAGTTTATTCCCAGAAAGCTTCCCTGCCAACACCAGACGAGCTGCAGAGAAGTGCATTCCTACTTAACGAGCATATTAAGGGAAGCATTTAGTCCAGTATACACATAGTTGTTGTAACAGCCCTAATTTGCCATCAGTCATAACAGACTTAACTGGCCATTTATGCTCACCATTGTTGCTCTCACAAATGCTGCATGACTCCTGACTTAGTCAGGCTGGAAAAATGAGTGTTTGAAAAGCTTAATGTCTATTGCTGTTTCAGTGATGGGTCAGTACAGGCACATTGAGATAACCAGGGTACAAAGGCGAAAAGCTGTAACAGCTGGAGCAAAAAAAGATGAGATTTTGTGGAGAAAACTTTCAAACCACCATAATTATTTTGTTTCCTCTTTGGACTTGTTCTAGTATAATTTTTTTTTCGCTGAGTTGCAAAACATGTTGTTTACGAGAAGACTTCACCACGTCCAGTGTGCCACAAGCACCCTTATGAATAGTTATGGGTCTGATGTCACATTTAGACTGAGCAGTGACCAACATGCCAACCATAACAGCAGCTTAAGTAGTCAGTAGTCACTCCATAGCCTGCTTAGGTTCGCTGTATTGTCTCAAAGCGCTGTCACTTTTAGATTGGATATTCTCAGCTCAAAGGATAATGGGTTTCATTTTTTTGTACAGGATTATAGTTTTGTTTATTTTTGTTAACCATCTGTATTTGTGAATTTAAAAAACAAAGTTTACTCTACACCAACATCTAGATTACTGTACAGCATCTTTGTATAACTTCCTCCTGGAGGTCAAAAAACTGCATGTTACATTAATTGGTCATTCTAAATTGGCTTTGGATGTTGGATTGTGTAGCTGTCTGTCTCATTGCTGAAGGCCACCTCTGCTACCTGGAGAAGCCTCTCCAACATACTGAGGATGGAAAAATAACCGTTAAATTCATATGAGTGACAATTTGTGAAGCTGTGAAAACACATTTTGATGCAGGGATGAAAATTTGAATTGAATTTGCGCTGCAGTTGGGATATTTTGAGTGTTTTTGACATAGTTCTCTGTGGCCTTCCCCCCCCCCCTCCCCCCTCGCTCTCTCTTGCTCTCTCTCTCTCTCTCTTTCTCCCCCCCCCTGGATACCTATTTGCCTTGCAGAATCTTCTAACCAGTGCAGGAACTTTCTGGCTATTTGCTTCTATGTGCATCCTGAATGTCATCTTCACCACGGTCTTCGTCCCAGAAACCAAGGGCAAGACACTGGAGCAAATCGAAGCAACTTTCAGAGGGATGTCAGGTCCCTGAAGATGCCACATGCAAAGACTAAAAGACAAAACTGCTCATTTCTGAACTCACTGCTCTACCTGGGACACTGTGTGGGTATTCTTTGTTGTTATTATTAACACTTTATCGCCTTTGGATATTACAGAAACGGCTGAAAGAAGTAATCCTTCGTGAAGGTTATGATTTTCAGTATTTGTGTACGAGGCATTGATTCGTCTGTTGTTCATGATGCCATTGAACTGTAATGCAGCAGTAAGGTTCTGCCAAATTTGAGCTGTTTTCATGTGAAATCTGTCCAGAATCCTTTAATGTAAGATAATCTGATAAGGCAATTAAGTGCAGTCCTTTCAGTTTTGTGATACTGAGAGTCTACAGAGGGGACCAGATTCAGGCTAAAGGGGGGCTGACTCTATACTGCCCCCAGGTGTACTCTTTCTTGCAGTTCTGATCAGTAAAGACAATTTTGGCAAGTTTTCCTCAGGACAGCAGTTTAGCATGAAGTTGGAACACACCGAGGGTTGTAGTAATGGATTCCAGTGTTGCCTTCCCTATAAAATGAAATGCCAAAAATACATATAAGCTACTGTTTTTCCCTCTGTTTGTTTAAACAGAGCTTCTAAATTGAGCAGGCAGACACGTGCAGTGACTTCTTCCGGGTCATTTACGTTTTTTTTTCCGTTGCTGGATAAGAATATTTCCTATTGTTCTGACTCTTTTTAAGGACTCTAGCAAAAGACAGAACAAAAGTGTAACATTTTGGTAGAAGTGAGTAAGCTGTTTACACTAATTTACCTGTGTGTAATTTACACTATCAGGGAAGATTTATGTGATGGCATTGTTCTTTTGGGGTTTCTTTTAGCTGTGAACTGTAAAAATGTGTTTTTTTCTTTAAAGTTTTATAATCATTTTTCTTTTGGGATACACTTGAAAATTGTTTTAAACACACATTATATGACTTATACACCCTTGAGGTTATGATAATAGTCACGTAAGTCACATTGTGAAGTAGTGAGTTATGTTAATTAAATATCACCTTTTCTTAAACATATTGTTTTTGTTGATCACTCTACTGGAAAAGAATAATAATCATGTTGTTTTTTTGTTGTTGTTTTTTTAGTTTGTGATCAATAAAGATGTTTCTATTAATGTGTCTGTGTATTCTTTACAAATTCATTGTGAATTTCACCTGAACAGAATAAAGTCATGGTTATTTCCCTAGTTTCTCCTCTATGACTCTGGTATGACACAGAATTATTACCTACACTCGTAACATTTTTTGATGAAACATCTAAGTTCCAGGTGATAAATGTTTCAATCATATCATAAAGACCCCTTAAGATGTTTTTGACTGCCACTTAACGGTAACATTAACAAGTAGGAAATTTAAGTCACTTTAAGTGTTGTTGTTGGTGCCAGGTCTTAAAGATGCCACTGATTGCATGTAGCTGGATCCTGGCAGAAATTAGGTTCTGAGGTAGCCCAACCTTCCTCAGGATGTATACACATTGTTGAGCCTTGCCAGTGACAGTAAAGATGTGAGTGGTCCAGGTCAGGTACTCTGAGAGGTGGACAGAGACAAATTTAATCTCCACATCCTGACCACTGATTTATATTTGGGGGGTGGGTCTGTTCTCTTGGACCTTCAGGAATCCACTACTATGTTATTTGTCAATTGGCTCTCTCTCATCATTGTTGGTAATCAGCCCCATGCCTGTTGTGTATCTGGTGAATTTGAGCCACATACACCTGGGGTTGTTGTTCAAATCACCTTCTATCATCAGCCTTAATACAATGGTTGAGACTAGTAACTCAAATAACCACTCGTTATGACCAAGGTAAGCAGAAGAGGATCTCTGAATGTACAGATGACCATACCCGGTGTCATTCCTGTCAGGTAAAAACCGTAAACTGAGGCTGAGTATTCATTTCTGCTTCAATATTCAAATTACAGATTCAGCATTTGGCATAAATAACATATATGCATGGCTCCATCCTCTATGCATACATACTTGTATCAACAATTTAAGCTGCTGCTGGTATAATGTGAGAGGTTACTTTTGTGCAAAATTTGGGACCCTCCTAACTGAGTCTACTTGGCCTACTCAGTCTACCTGTGTATTGTTGACCATATGCATCCTTTTACACATTTTCGCAAAAGCAAAGACTGTGATAAGGATGTGTGCAGTTTTTTGTTTGTTTGTTTGACCTTTCTGCTTAATTTTTCTGCAAATTTCAGTGACTTGAAATAAAGGACAAAGTTTTGTATAAACACACTGTAAACAGGATTAGATTGCCACCACACAAGCATCCAAAACAATATCTGAATTTTATTATATTTGTTTTTCCAGCTCTAAGGGGTGAAGCAAAAACAAATTAGAAGTTGGCCAGAAATTTCTCAGCTCCAATATAAAAACATATTTTAACTGTTCTTAGTGTATGTTTAATGTTTTATTTTCAAGAATATTTAAAAGACATTTTAAATTGTGCTAAATTGTCGAAAAGAAACTCCGAGTTTGCGCACTAATCTGCCATTTGGCCTTTCAAAATAAAAGCCGCGTCAGATCCAATCGACACAAACGGTGTGAATTTGAGTTGATTTTCGGGTTTAACATTTGAGTATTTGCACTCGAAAAAATTAATAAGTAAAAAATCACAAATAATTATCGTTTGGTAGTTGTCTTCTATTTTAACTCTCCCCGTGGGTGTATTATGATATGTTGCCTGCACCCTCTTCCTGTCCGCGGTCAAAACTTACGGAAACACTTCCTGAGCTGCCTGGTGTTCGCCCGTTTGTCATCCGGGGCCGCCTGTCTATTGCTGTCCGTTGGTCGACTCGGGGACTCGGGGATGCTGCGAGATGGGAGTTGAATCGCGCAATCAACAAAGTGTCGGACGGAGTTTGAGACAATAGGAGGGAGCTTTTCGTTAGTTTTCCCATGAACCGAAAGTGAGCGCTGGATGGATTTTTGTTTCGAAGGGATTTAAAATAAAATACCCGGGGTGAAAATGAAGCTGCTGAAGCCGAGCTGGGTGAGCCACAACGGTAAGCTTGTGCAGGAATCTGTTGGATCAAGTTGGGCTTTTGTTGTCGGAGGGGGGCGACTTGATAAGGACGCATGATGATGATGATGGTTATGGTGCTGGTGCACACATGTTTGACTTGTTAGTCACTTAAAAGTCACTCACATGCTAAATCTAAGCCAACGTTTGGGCACTTGCATTCGGTGTTTGTGCCGTTGTCAGTGTCTCTGTGCTCAAAGTATATTTGTTTGCTAACCTTAGCTAGCTAGCTAGTTAGCCCCCCCGGCTAGTTCTGGTGTCCTGACGTTAGCTAACTTACCTGGCAGATGACCCGTGTCGAAGTTACTGCCTCGCAGTGACTTTTTGGGGTCAGATTTACTCACATCCCGTGGGATATTTTAACATTTTATTTGTGTGACGGCTTCACAGAAATCTTAAAAAATAAACAAGTGTCTGCTGGGATAATTTTTAAGCTGTCAGTTTGGAAAGTTAACCGCCAGGGAAATGGCCTGAATTTAGGGTGCAGCTAACGACTGTTGTTAGTAGAGCACATTTTGCCCGTGAAATATTTGACATTTGGAAGACTCCAACAAAATTGCACAACAGCATCAATATAGAATGAAACCAAATGTATTAAATGTATAATTATATTAGCAGATGGATTCCAGCTGCTGATATGTTTACAAAGAAAACTGAGGAAATAATACTTTGTTTTTTTTGTTTGTTTGATTGTTTTTTAATTCAGCACTCAACGGGAGTTTCTTTGTGATTTTTAGACATACATTTTTGCACTGTTGCTAAAATAAAGCACGTACTCAGGGGTGCATACAGAGTGCACGGTTAGGTATGAACTTCAGCTTTAGTCACGTAGTACACAGTACTGTATCTTTTATAAATATCACTTTAAGTAATGAGAAGCTTGTAATAAGTCACAGTTTTTTATTGTACAGTAGCTTTTTTCAAATATATTCTAGCAATTATAACCTTATTTCAAATTGTGGTTTCTTAGGCAAAAAAGGCACCGAGTGTTAAGTAAGGGTGTATTGTATAGACTGTACACAGAAGGATGGATATGCCACACACTGGTTCTCTTCTGAAGCCTCACTATTAGTTCTTCGAAGAAGCTCAATGCATTGGCTTGACCATATCTGAATTAACAAGATAATTATCTAAAGAAAAAAAATTATCCCCAAGAGCCTCTATTGACTCGAACTTCGAGGAACAGCAATGACCCTGCTGCTTACTTTAATGTAATTTGGATTTCACTTTGAAATATAGGAAGATACTGCCATATTTGTCTCTTGTATTTAATTGCTCATTTCATTCAACTGATCCTAAAGAAACAGTGTGTGCATAACTTCACAGCAAGTCACATTATTTTTTTAGCTAAAAATAAAAAAGTATAAATTACATAGAAACCAGCTAATGATGATGTTTTTGAAATACTGTGTAATGTATAGGGATGGGTATCGTTTAGGTTTTATCCAGTAGCTGAACCGGTACTTTTGAAACGGTGCCGGTGCTTAAACTGGTGCTTAAAGAATGGAGAACACAAAATTGGTCCAAAAACCTCTCATGTTCAGCTGTTTTTTTT